AGTGGAGGACAGAGAGCAGGTGAGCAGGCACAGCCACTGAAAAAGAAACTTTTGTGAAACTGCTGTCTGAGTTTAATTTGTGGTAAGGAACTGAAAAAGCTGAATGCAGATATAGGTTGGGTGAGTTTCTGCTGTTGAAAGAACAAATGGAATAGTAAAATCTGTCAGACTGACAAAACCAAACAAAAGAATACAGAAAGAAGTGCCTCGCCTAAGTCTCCACAATCATGAAATTTCTCACTGAACTTACATCCTCTTAACACAGAAAGAGATACCATTATTTGTACTGTAATGAAAAGGAGTAATCTAAGCAGCCTTTCCTAGTGTCTAGAACATGACATCAGAAAATGATCCCCTTTCAGTTATGAAAAAATGGAAGGAAATATAAATTGCTTGACCTGTTCACAAAATCTGTTCCAGGGCTCAGTCACTTCCACAGCAACGAAGTTCTTCCTTGTATTCAAATGGAACTGAATTCCACAGAACAGAATGTGCAATTTGTCTTGAGTATGGGAGCAGAGACAGTAACTTGTCTAGAGTTATAAAATATCTAGAGCTGTTGGCTCAAAAGCATAGAGCTAGGAAGACAAAGTGTTTATACATCCTGATGTTGGAAAAGATATGAATTTTTACACTGTAAGGAAAAAATTAAGCTACCCAGTCTTCATTAAGGAAAAAAAAACAGATTAAAAACTTGGTATGGCTATTTACAAAAGATTTTCCACACCTGGGTTTGAAGAAATCTGTGACAAAGGCTGATTGAGATCTCACATGTGGTATTACAAATCTCTTACCACGTGTAAGAGATATAGTATGGACCAGCAAAAGTACACAGTGAGAAATATGCAGCAAAAAACAAAACAGGGAATAAAACTGGGCTGCACTTTCTCCTGCAGAGTATCTTTCGGTGCTCACAAACATACAGCTTGGGGATAAAGGAATGATGTGTGATCTGAGAATGAATTAAAGTTTGGTACAAAAGGAGAGCAAAGTACAAAGAGAGGATGCAGATGAATGTGGAACAACCAGAGTGTAATGGCCTGGACAGTGGTTCAGACATGGGCCTGAATAAACTAAATGAGTAAAAGCAGTGATGGGAAATAAACAACAGGTCAGCAGGGACCAAGAGACAGAACCAGTGCAGGTTATGCAGCTCTGGAACAAAGGCTTAGGCAGCTATTGTGGATCACATATGAAGCACAAGTCAATGCTCCATTGCTGTAGAAATACAAGTATCATGATACATAAAAAGCAGTGGGACAGCTAACACTGGAAGCGACAGCTAATGGCAATGGTGTAATTTTCATTAAGCTAAGCTAAGCTGACACGAACTGGTTTGACATCCTGTTTGGGCTCATCAGCCTCCCTGAGAAAGTGTGCACAGCACCTATGCTTCTGTGAGAGAGGGAAAAAAAGGTAGAAAGCTGCAGAAAACATAGATAGTCTGACTTATTTAAGTGAGTATTTTGAAAAAAAGTTCATGAAAAATCACACATTGAGAATAAAATGTAAAGTGAGCATTTGGATGAGAAAACAAGTCAGTCAGCTGAAAGCTGGCAATCCAATACAGGGAAAAAGAGAAACAACAGATGGAGGAGATATGAAAACTGTAGTAATACAAGATGATAACTTAAGAAGAATGAAGAGAGAGGTGTCTCAAGAACAGCATTATTTTATCAAGATACACCGCAGCCAATCAAAACATCAAATCATCACCTGGTTAGGAATACAATGTGCAGAGTACATTTTAATTATTGCTCTGCTACAATAACTTCAGTCTTTTATTTGACTAGCAGTGAAATAATGAATATTTTCTTTCCTAGCTTTTTATAAGACACTTAAAACAAAGTAATTTAAAAATTCCAATTAACTTCTCAACTGACACCTCAATCTAGCTTCTCTTTGCAGTATTTCAAAGAAGTGATTTTCTCTTAAAATCACCTCAGCTCACAGTTCATAGGCAGCTCATATCCCTTTACCAATATATTCAGGTACAGGTATATAAATCACACTTTGGCAAAAACCATAATTTAGATTCCCAAACATTTTCTTCTGTTTAATTTTGAAATATCTATTAGCGTCTTTTAAATAGCTATGAAATAAACATTGTTAGTGACTACTCCATAAACTTTCTTTGCACACCCAGGAAAGCCAACAGGTTCTGTATTACATTTAAAACACAAAGCACGACTCTACCTTGATTACCACCAAGGGCAAATCCGCCGAGCTGTGATGTTGCAGTGGTGTGTGCATGGGAATGCAAAACGCTGCTCTGAAAATCCTGTGCTTCCCATTTAAAGCAATTCCCATTCAGGTACATTCATCTACTTAGTTGCTGATCACTGTAAAAATATCTGGCTTAATTAGAACCTGAAGGCTGTCAACAGCTTTCAGAAACACCCTGCATGCTTGGGAACACCCAAGATTCAAGACCATTTTTGAGGGATTTCTTTTTCATGTTGACCAGAGGAAACACTGGAGAACTAAAAGGCTTATGGTGAAAAAGTGCTGTCCTTAAAATATAGCAAAAACTTATTTGTGTAAAACTAATATTCAGTTACTAAATGAATACAAGGAAGAAGGAACATTAAAAATTAAATTCGATTTCTAACAGCCACCAAATGTTACCTACATTTGAAACTAAATTTCAGGTAAGTTGACAAGATTTAGCACCACTCCATAAGGCCCTGCAAAAAAATGTTTGGACTTTCTCCTGAAATACTCTAAAATATCAAAAACATTTCTATTAGTCTTAAAGCTTCTTTAAACAATATCTGTAAGGCACAACTGTGTAATTATAACAAAAGGTTCTAGTTAAAGAGTGCTGCTAGCAAAAGGATAAGCTGTGAATAAATGTTGGCTTGAAAATGTGAAGATTTCAAACCCTGGTTAGAAGCTGCAGTGATAGGACAAGGGGCAATGGGTACAAACTGAAAGAGGGAAATTTAGGTTAAATATTAGGAAAAAGTTTTTCCCTGTGAGGGTGGTAAGACATTGGCACAGTTTGCTCAGGGAGGTTGTGCACCCCCAACCCTGGCAGTGTTCAGAGCCAGGCTGGATAAAGCCTTGAGCAACCTGCTCTGGTGGGAGATGTCCCTGCTCATGGCAGTGGGGGGTTGGGACTAGGTGATTATAAGGTCCATTCCAACCCCTAAAATTCTATGATTCTCTGAAATCATCAGAGGTCAGACTAAAGCTATGCTTTGATGCATGAAAGAGGAATTAGGGAAGGAAAATCTACCCAAGAACACATGCAAACAACAGCCCAGTCATCTCACACCATTTAAAATTTCCCTCCCAATTCTGGAACCAGAATCTGCACTTTCTCAATGTAACTAACTGAAGATTCTAGTATAAGACACTTTACAAATATCTGGTGAAGAAAAAAAGCAGCACTAGCTTTAGCATATAAACAGCAGAGGAATGCAAACTACATCACAGTACACAGGCCTCTAGGAATTAAAGCATCTTTCTTGAACAGGACTATTTTCCCAGAGCTCAACACCAAAATGTGGAATTGTCTCAGTATAAGATTCTGTGATAGTCAGACTACATAAATACTTCATTTAAAAGCTGCATCTTCACAGGCTGTGTTGATTGACCTCTATCCTTTTCTACCTAAGAGCAACCAAAGCTCTGCTTGAAGGCTGTAAACTCTTAACAGGAGAAAGGATTCAGATTAGATGTTAGGAAAAATGTTTTCCCTGTTTGGGTGATCAGGCACTGGAATAGATTGCCCAGGGAGGTGGTGGAGTCACCATCCCTGGAGTGTTTAAGAGGCATCTTGATCTGGCACTGGAGGGTATGGTTTAGGGGTTACAGCAGTGTCAGGTTAATGTTGGACTCAATGATCTTAGAGGTCTCCTCCAACCTTGATGATTCTATGAGTCTATGAAGAAGGATATGTACTTGTCAGATTTTCAAAAGCACTAGGTAGGCCTTGGAAAACTGCTATTTTCTCCTCTAGAGAAAGGCTTAAGCAGAAAGACAGTAGCTTGTCTATATTTACAGTGTTACCAGTTCCCAAAAGAAAGCTGAAAAATTGTAGCCACTTCCTCAGGACTTAGGACAAATAGTAAAGCACAAATATGAACTTCCCAGTTTTTGGAGAGAGAAAATTAAAAACAGGTAATAAAACAATGCTGAATAAAATGATGAAAAAAGCCCCAACTTAGGTATAAAACTGAGTATATAAATCCTACACAAAGGCTTAATGATCTTGGTACTAAACTAGAAACATTTCCTTGCAGGTAAAGGAAATTAAAGACTTCAGAGTTGAGTTCTTACAATTGAAAAGTAAAAATCCCTAGCTCAGAACCCTCACAAGAACAGGAGAAACAGCATACCCTAAGGCAATATGTAAAGAACCACAGTTTAAACCAAAACAGAACCCAAAGCATATACACCCCACACTAGATCACATGATGTGAGAAAAGGAAAGGGGAAGAAAAGAATATATAATTGCATTTGGCAAGTAGAATTCCAGAGTGTAAGACAAAATGGAGCATCAGACTGTGGGATTGGAGCTGCTGTTGTTGCATTATGGGGAATGAGGCAGAAACCATTAAGGTCATTAAATGAGTCAGGATTTATTACATGTGTAGAGTCAACGATATGTACATATATCAAGTCTACCTTCCTGCTGTTACACCTCTGCACTAAAAATGGCTCACCGACAACAGTCATTCACTTCATATTCTTCCTACATTTCTATTAACATTCTTACTTTGTTTTATGTCTGCCTGTGAAAAAGTAACTTCTTGTCTGGCAACTCCAGTTATGAAATTTTCTATCTGCCTATTCTGCATCACGGGTGAAACTTACGTTGAAGCCAAGTAACCCTCTGATGATAAGCCTTTGTGAACAGAGGGAAGACATGGGCCTTGAAAAGGATTTCTCAAAATCAACTGATTTAGTGACTGTTACACTTTGTCTCTTTTGCAGTTTACCTAAGCTATAGTTTATATTTGTCTCTCATTAGGAGCACAGAATGTGTTCCTTCATGAAAGGGAAAGCTGAACAACCCTGCTAAAAACACTAATTTCTGTCACTAGATCATTGGTGTCAGACTCTCTTCCATAGTAGCAGGGAAATGATTCCCCATTTGTAGCCTTATTGCTACTGGATCGCACCACTGTAAGACAAATAAGCAAGAATACTGGAATATTAAAGCCATACTAATATAGGTATGTAAAAAAGTTCACAAAATTTCCCCTCCCGATTTAAAGAAAATTTATGGTAACAGGAGCCAAGTTTAAGAATTGTCTGTAATATTAATATAGTTGCTATGTGCACATTGAAAAGACCAATTAGACTCACCCAAATAAAGCTGTCACAGTAAGGATTCCTAACTCCTGTGGTCAACTTTGAAATTACTAAAAAAATTAGCACTAACTTGATTTCATTAAGACAGCATTTAAAAACCGCATTCAAACATAATGAAAAATTTAAATTGAAAATTCAGGTTCTCTGTCGACAAGCCCAACAGATTCTTCTTCTAAAACTCTATAGACTACTTGAAGAAAAGCCAAAATGTAAAGGAGAAAATTAAAAAGTTCATTTTAGATGAAGAAACTATCCTAACTTCATGTGATTAGAATTGATTTTTAAAAGCTTTTCTGTGCAAACTCCCACCCTGATATGAAAGGCAAGTGAACAGGTTTGTCGTATCAGCACAGCACACAATACTGTCTGCTACTGTAGGATGTCGACTGCCTCCTCTGCATCTGTGATAAGTCCACACTCTCTAAAAATTTAAATTTAAATTATTCAGTACATTGTAAGATCCTTAAATGGGGTATTTTCCAGTGTCCCAGTTTTATGGTTAGATAAAAGTTTATCTTATTTTAGCTTGGCTTCCTTGAAGCCTTTTGGCCAAGTGCAAAGCACGTGAACGCGACCTTCAGTGTTACAAGGAAACACACCGAACCACTCTCAGGAAAACAAAAATATATAAATGCTTTCCTGAAAACATGCTTATGTAATTTTCTCTGCCACCACAGAGAGTGTTTTAATGTTGCTAAAGAAATTAAAATGGCCAGAACATAGATTTACAGTAAAAGGGAACTGCCCCTCAACACATCAATCGCATTGTTGAAACAAGAGTTTGGAAGTCAGGCAGTAACAAACGTCCTGTGGAGCAATGTATCTACCAGCCACCTTATCTTGAACAGAACAGGCAATGGGAAAAAGTGATTGACTCTCTTCTGCTGCTACAATGAGCACATGGCTAGATCTGACTGCTTGATACTACCTTGAAAATGTTAAGAACTCAGTTGCTTTATTCCCACTCGCACACGCTAACCAAAACTGAGCATACATAAAAATTTGATAAGTGTTCTGCCTACCTGCTACAATGCTTCCAATAAAACATCATCACAACACCTCTCTCTTTCAAGAACATTCGTAAGACCCCAAGATCAGTAAAACTTGAAGAAAAACTTCAAATATTGACCATAAATGTGTACAGAACAACATTTTCAAGCACGACAACAGAACAGTGATATAGTATATGATACCACATCAACAAAATATACAGTCCAAAGAACATATGAACGAACAATGATGTTTTCATGTGCATTAAACTTCCAAATGCAGGAATTATGTTTGAAGTCACATGCATGCACAGCTAGAAATCACGTTCTTTTTTTTAGTGAGTAGCTATACTCTAGACTAAAAATGTTTGGATGATTTCCTTGGCTGGTGGGGAGAGCACACAATGTTGAACCAACATGCCAAAACAAGACATCCTTTCTGTATCAGACAATCCCCTGATACTGCAACAGTACCCCTAAAAATGATTTGGGGTTACAAGTGTGGACAAAATTCCAGAATCATCATTCTTTGTCTTTTAACATTTCCTTTATCATATAGTTTCTAAAGACAATGATTGATATGAGAAACTATGAGTAAGAGGCAAAATAACAAAAAACTGTAAATGAAATAATGTAAAATATCAAAATAGTTATCAGATTTCCTACAGATCCAAAACTAAAGGAGGAAAGTTATCAGGTAAATAAAATTGAATCCCAATTAAAACTAACATGAGACCATATCACAGTAATAGGTCTTACATTGCCATAGAAACAAAATGTTTACAGATAAATATAATTTGAATGTAACATTTTCTCAGTGAGTTACAAGTATGAGAGAGCTCTTTCTTCATTTGCAAAACAGAAACAGATACATGACCTTTCCTAGTTCTGCTCTTTTTTACAGCAATCTCGTGTCAAGGTTTGAACTAAAAAACAAATTGTTTATGTTGAGCTTGGCCACAAATCAGTGAATTAAAATACAAAACAGTAGTCTGAAGAGAAAAAATGCTGTGCTGTGGAAAAGCAGAGTTACACCAAATGAGCTTAATATGAAGAATCCTATATATCACATGAAATACAAAAGAAATAAAGCATACAAGAGCCATAACACTGTTTATCTTACAACTGAAATTATATTTTCTGTTTATTATCAGAGATGATTTCTACAATATAGAATGCAAAGAATACCTAAGATTTTGCTCTGATATTTTGAACAGGGTTTTTTTCTTATTCTTTGGGCAATATACCAGATTAGCTAATACAATATTGTTTCTACAAATGAAAACTTCTGCAGTAATTTAATTCACACTGCAGAATTTTTCTTTTACTCGGTATTTCACACCTTTGTTATTCTGTTGAAACGAGCTGAGACTTCTATTTAAGGAGATGTCTTTGCCCCACGGAAGAAACAAGTGTACCCTCTCCCTCAGTAACATAATGGCATTTCTGAGACCACAGTTGTATTAGAATGTATTATAAATATCTACGTTTAAAAGTTAGTTTAATTTCACACTAGCCTAAAAAGAGTCTAAGACAAGGTATTTAGCACAATAACTTGATACTGTACTTGTCAAGAGCAATTTTGCATTTTAAGCTGTTCTGTACGAATTCAATGCACAAACCCCTTAGAGTCAGCAGATTTCATCTGGCATTGAATGGATACTAAAACGGATCTCTGCATGAAGAATTCTCAAAAGTACAAAGTACTACCTTTTACTGCATAATTATAAAACCGTTCCAGATTTATAACAGAAATCATTCAATGACAATATAAAAAAAAAGCTGTATGTTAATACACTGAATTTATGCTTCATTTTATCATTTACTCTTCCTTGCAATATGAGAAACCACAGGATGGAATGAAATTCTGCTCCTTTTGAAATCAACAGCCAGTTGTGACTGACTTCAGAATGTCAGAGCTTGATTTCTTGTCTGTCTGAATTATACTAGTTAGCTTATCGTAGCTGAAAGAGTGGTGTAAAATACTATACACATTTTTAAATTGCACTTCCTGCATTATTCTGATGCTGCTTAATTTCGTAACTTCTATGAAATTAAAATGAATAACATGCAATAAATAAAAAAAAAAGTGCTTAGTTGTTTGACTTCTCCAATTGTGTAAGATTTCAATTTTTAGATGAAGGGGGGAACAGGAACTTACCTACTTGGTACTTTGGGTAATAAGGTGCCATTTGTCCACTACTGCAAGATTGTCTCTTATGCCTTTTTCTTAAATTTGTATCAGTGGTCTCCCATGGTGGACTTTTTCTTTTGTTTATTCTGATAAGAACTTCAGAATTACCAGCAGGATTATGCTCCTGGTTTACACCACTACTTAATTTTCTCCTGTGAAACTGGTCATCCAGCCTTTCTGTCACTTTAGAAGAATTAGATCCTTTAGATGTTTCCATTTCATTTTCTTGTTTCTTTAATGCATTTTGCTTAGTAGAATGGGACCTTAAAAGAGGATGTCTTTTTTCTTCCATATAGGCCTGAGTGCTTTTACTGTCAACAGCTTCAGGAGAATAAATGACATTATTTAACTTAAATGAATTGTGCTGCTCAATATGGTTGATTTTCCTCAGAAATATCCTACAGTCTTTAAAGGTTTTGGTTTTCCAAGCATTCTGAAACAGTTTATCTTGGCTTTGTTCTTTTCTAACGTTTTGCTGGCAATGAATTGTTCCATTTGTCTCTGAATGTGACTTAAGTATATTGGCTAAACCAGGATGTGGGTTAAAGTCAGAAGATCCCATCATATGTTGAACAAATGCATCTCTGGCTTCATTTTCAGTTGGCAAGAGGCTCTTCTGAGACTCTACCAAAGTCTGACTGGACTGGATTTCTACTGTACTTTTTTCCTGGAGCTTGGGTGTTTCATCATCGGTTTCCTCACTTGTACTTTTAAACAACTGGCTTTGGCAAAATAACTGCAAATTTTTCTTTTTGGATTTCCAGCCTCCAGGAGCCTTATTATAGAGCCTTTTCGTTTGTCCCCACCTATCACGCTGCAACTTCTTAAATTCATTTCTTTTCAATCTGGCTAATGTGAAATTACTCTTCATGCTTAAGACTGGAGACCTCACCATATTATGTAAGATTTGCAATTTCCCTGCTGGTTTTGAAGGAGACGATAGTGCAAACTTTTTAAAGTGCTTTCTGAAAGGGCAAGTACTAAGTTCAGGTTGTTTAGTTTCCATCTTTACCTCTCTAGTACTAACTACTTCTAAGGGATTGCGAGCGTTTGCCTTTCTCACCAGAGAGAGAGACTGTGTTTCTGTAGTTTGCATAAACCAGGTGCAGAGTTCATTCATATTACACTTTTTCTGGAACAGCATTTTTATAGGCGACGTTTCAAGTTCTACAAGGCAGGAGTCTAAAGGGTTTGACATTTCAGCATTACAGTCTTGTTCAATGGCATCCCTTTTATCACATACACATTTATCAAACTCACTTCCCCCCACTCGCAACCAGGTATTAGTTATCTGTTCAAATCTATTATTTAGTTCTTCCAACAAAGTGTCACTTGAAGTGGAAGTAGGCCACCACCTGAGAGAGGGATTTGATGAAAAAATGGGATCTGATGATACTTCATTAATGGGCCCCAATTCACCATCCTTAAGGTCCTTTTTAGCATTTCCTGAATGTCTCAGTTCCAAGGTATCTTTGGATGCTGTGCTCTGATTTGACTGTGTATGTTTTTCCTTTCGCTCTTTAGCTTTTTTCAAATGGAGTTTGTAAGATTTATGCAGTAAGGCACTTCTACAAGTAAATGCACTAGAAGATGCTAATGAATGCAAAAAATGCAGTGAGGGCTTTCTGTCTCTAGCAGAATGTCTCAATGGAATTTCACGTTTTCTTGACACTGTTGGAGTAACATTGTTCGATCCATCCTCTCTAGAATCTTTCTGCATGTTCTTTCCTTGACCCATATTATTGCACAGTTGAGTTTTTCTCTCCTGTGGTATGTTTTTTTCTAACACATTCTGCTGTTGCAAAGGAGGCAAACTGTTGCTAATGCTCACTTTTCTTTCCTGAGGTGAAAGTCTACTGACAGTCACCGATATGCCGGAAATTCTCACTTTTGCTGGCCTACCAGGCTTTCGGATGGGGGTTAAAGGCTTCTTCATCTGCCGTATAATATTGCTGCAAGGATGTGGTGATGCTAGATTACTCTTGATAGGTCTGACATAGTCATACCCAGAGACCTCCTTTTCAGCAGAAGGTTTCTGTAAGGCTTTTACTATTTCAGTCAAAGCATTTCCAGTTTCTGCACTGTGCCTTGCTCTGCTGGGGTCGTTGGCAAAATTAGAATCAATGTGTTGCGTGGGCAGAATGCTGATTACGTTTAGATTACCTTCAGAAACATGTCTCTTAGTTCTTCTTGACCTTCCAAAAACAACTGTCACGGTGATATTTTTGTTGCTGTTGACTTCTTCCGTTACTGCTGCGTCAGACTTGAGGCTTTTACCACCGTTGCTAAGTTCAGGTCTAGGCTTTGTGCTTTCACTCATGTCTATTTTTGGTTTTGGAGGCCGTCCAATAGGTCTCTTAACCTGCTTAACCACTTGAGGACCTATTTTCTTTGGTCTACCAGGTTTTCTTTTTAAAACCGATTCACTGCTACTGCTTGATTTCTCCAGAACTTCGTCATTTTTTTTCGAGTCACTTAAGTTAGTTTGACCAACTGGACAAGAGCTTGTAATTGCTTCTGTATAAACACAACTTGAGCCCTCCTTGGTATTATTTTCACTGCAATCACAATCCTTGACACAGACTGCATGATAAAGATCTCCCGTGGCCTCTTTGTCTAACAAAGTGTTTGTGTGCCCCTGAAACAAACAAAGATCTGTGCTTCCTTTAGAAGATGCAGCTGCAGATGTCAAAGTGTATTTGACTCCTTCACCACTATTAACCTCTGAGACAAACATAAGCTTAATAGGACTAGAGTAGTTTAAGGGAGATGAGATTTCCCCAGCTTCAGATGTTGCATGCAAGTCCCCATTACTGGACGTTAAACTGGATGAATTAAAGGTCAGAGATTTCAAAAGGCTGTTGTTAATTCCTTGATCTATAACCATTTCTTGCTTGTTTGTCGCCACACAAATTGCTTTGATTTTACTGCTGCTTGGCACGTGTGAGTGTGGAAGGAAGCTCTGTCCTGTGCATCCCATTTCACTCAGAGTGAAAGGTAAGCCTCTTCTAGCAGCTGAGTTCACAACCTGTTCATAGGTATTATCTTTTAATTTTTGGCTTATTTTGTAACTATCCAAAAATGAGTTGTTAGTCTTTCTAGCTAAATTTATCGTGTCTTCTAAACGCTCTACAACAACCTGTAGATTTGTGTCTCTCACAATTTTCCTTATATTTATGTCACCGCACCTTTCAGCATGAACATTTTTATTTATTTTCATTTTTTCTAAACTTTGTAAAGACTTTTTTGCATCAGACGACTTTCTAAACATGATATTGTTCGTTACATACACAGAGTACCATCCAGGAGGCACAATGTTACGTTTAGTTCTGCCCAAGATTTCATTGCTCTCATCCTTTAGAGGAATCTGACCAGTCTCTTTCAAGGTTGCACAATCTCCGTGTGTATTTGGGAGGTTTGCCTGGCTGGCTGCAATAGCACTGTTTTCTGAAAGCACCAGGAAGCCAGAGCTGGTTTGAAAATTAGTAAGAGGTAGTTTGAAAGACTCTGTTTGGTGTACTGGAAAGCACATTGGTTTGGTTTGGCAATTGACACAAGGATTACTTTCAAGATGTTGCAAAGCCTCATCTTCTATTACAGTAAAACTATGTCTTTTATTTGGATGTATTTTATCAATTTTTTTTGCAGATTTTTTTGCATTTCTCTCAGAAACCGACTTTTTTCTTACAAGAGTATCATCAAGGCTTGCAAGCTCCCTCTTGATTTGCAAAGACTGTCGTCGAATGACCGGTGAATCAGGAGAATTATACGTTGCAAATAAAGTTTCCTGACGCTTGCGAAATCTAGTCTGGATAATTTTATTTTCCATTTGTTTATCATGTTGGCGAAGTAATTCCATAAAGCTGTAATCACTTGCCTTAGCATTATGCAAAAGAGATGTTATGAAGTCTCCTAATTTGACATCGTTTTCTGGTGCCCTGTCACTGCTGGAAAGTTTTACAAGGTTTGTGGCTATATCTGTAGTGTCTATCAATTTCAGCTTTTCATTAATGCGGTCCATTAAGTCTTGAAAAATGGCAGAATGTTCACCTTTCTCAGACATCTCAGAATTCATATAACCATCACTGCTCTCTTGATCTGTTGATCTCAATGTTCCATCTGCACTTTCGGTGGTCTCTTTTCCTTTGCATGTTGTACCTTCGAATTCTCCTTTGCTTCCTTCAGCTGGCAAGAGGGATGGAGGCTGGTTGATGGATATTTCAAGCTTATTGTTGTCTAAATATGGAAAATCCATAACTGATCCTTCTGAGGAATCAAATTCTTTACTTTGCACAGGTGACAGTGGAGGTGGTGATGGGCTGCGAGATCTATTTGAACTTTTAATGCTGTTTAAGAGATCACAGTCCTTAGCTGAATATGTACACGCTGTTCCTTTCACAGAATGCCTGTTATAATTTTGCAATTGGTCAGCACAATACTTAGGAGAACTACATGCTTTGTTCACCATTGTCTTAATACATCCAATCGCTACAGCTTGGCATGACAAAGAATGGAAATCTTTAATACAAACAGACAGAGGTGGTAAACAAGTGTTTGGCCTTTGGTTTTGTAAACAGCACCTTTTTGTCAGCATATGTCCATTGCAACTGCACAATGAAACATGAACATCCTCTTCAGTAAGGGAACTGGCAGTTTCAGAGTGGACCAAATGTGTTTGCTTGCAACTGCAAACTATAGGAACACTTTCCTCTTGTATTAAGAATTTTAACATAGCCAAAGTCTGTTGCCAGTGATATGAACAAAAAGATTCCAAAACTTTGTTTAATGTTGATTTTCCTTTTTCCAAATTAGCTGTTTCCTCTGAATTTGCATCAGCTGTTGAGCTTGAACTGAAAATGAAAACAAATCAAAACAAAATATAAATTACAGTAAAACACCACATCTAATGTTTGTTATAATGGTTAAACTCAAGCCTAAAAACCTGAAGTTTGCAAAACAGTTCTGTTCTAACTGCACTATTCAATCATACTTGCAAGTGCCACTAGCAATGATGTGCATCTTATCCATAGCAGTGATAGCACTACCACTAAGAAAAATAATGAGGAAGAAATTAAAGGGCAAAAATTAGTTTGAAATATAGCTTCTTGTACCTAAATGTGATTACAATGTTAACTCTCTGGTATTTCAAACTACCTTAGCCATTAATGAAGGAAAACCTCACCAAGAAGCTGTGGAGCTTGGTATTACTCCCATTTCACTAACTGAGGCACACAGAGGGTAAATGACTTGCCGAAGATCACAATTCAAGGCTGTGGCAGAGGAAAGAATGGATCCATCTCTCCTGAATCCCACTCTTAGATATTCAAATACCTAACGGTATTGAATGCTCTTCAGGATATACTTAAAGATCTTTCTAAAGAGATTTTTATTTTTATATTTAAAGGACACTTAACAGGCTAACAGAAAATGGAAAAAACAGCCACTTGCTACTGTTGCTGCTCTTTGCAGGTTAAAGCTTCCCTTCCAGTTTTTTTTAAATACATTGCAGTGGTGTATCACATGCTCTTCACTGCAATATTAAGAGCCACACAATTGCACACACACGTGTGTGTAAAAGAACACACATGGATTCCTCCATTAAACACAGAGATAATCACCACTGGAATAAATAACTTCTGTGGTAAAAGTTAATATCCTTTAAATCTCAGGTCCAGGGTAGGCCTATGTCTAAAATAAGACTTCTGAGCAGTTGTCCTCAAAGATATTAACTCAAAATAAAATAACTTATAAAATATTACCTTAACTATTTAATTAATTTCTTATAAATTATTAAAACTAATGTCACTACTTACCTAATCAATCATTTATACTGAAAGGCTGAAAATTTTCCATGGTAGAAATTAATACAGATATTTCTTCAATTAAATACAAAATCCTTATGCTGGATAGCAACTATCAACAGATAGTTAACACCTAGTTCAAATGTTTTACTGAAACCAATTGCATGAGTAGAAAATGTTAGAAGAATTCTGTTTTAGAAAAGTATGTATTGTTTAAACATATCACCAAACTCTGAACATGACACTAACTTTTTTTTCCTACTATCATCCCCTGCAATTTTTTGCATTTAAACCTATACTTAAAAAAAAAAAAAATCATTTTGATTTGGTTTACAACTGTATTGATCAATGAACAAACATAATTAAAATCTAATATGCTGCATTTATATAGGTACCTATTCATTAAGGAACTCATACCCAATATTATTAGCATCAATAATAACTTTTAGCATCAAGCTTCTTACTGGAAGTTATACATACAAATTTGTATTTTTATTGTCCTACACAGATCTTAAAGTTTCAAGCTTAAAACCAGCCAACTCTGCATAATAATTCCTTGTGTTTTTTTTCCTTCTGCTGTAATATTCAGTATGCAAATGGTACATATTCAAAATCAAGCATCTAGATGATACTAACTCATAAGCAGAAGATAATTGTGATGGTATTAGTTGAAACTGCAATTATGTTTAAACTGAAATAGTTAAGTCTTAAAAAGCAAAAAAAAGAAACCTATTTGCACTTGCAATCTAAAGTAAAAATAGCATTATTCAAGGGAAGGTCATTGTCAGGATTTAACTGCTTTTGAAATGCCACTACTCTGAGAAGACTGACTGCTACTCCAACAAACTCAGGAGTCAAGTCTTGAAATGCATCACTACACTTGTGAAAACAAAGCTTGGTCCAGCAACACAACTAAGGATAAAAGCTAACTGCCCTCCCACCACCATGACCTTAATAATGTTTTGAAAGGCCAGATAAAAAAAAAAATTAAAAATTAACACAGTACTAGGTCTTCATCTTCAATATTTTGTTTGTAAATCAGAGTAAATTTGTTAAGAACTAATTTGCTAAAAAGATGGCTGTAGTACAGTCTATTTTAGACTGAACCTCTAAACAGTACCTTCCTGTCTATCTAGACTTGCAAGGTTTCACTGGAGAGCTTTAAGGACCTGTATCCTTAACTGCTATTTAAAGTATGTTCATTGGTGTAAGAAACTTTCAAAGCCCTACAGCCTTCTCAAAGTCAGTAACCAAAGTTTCCATAGGCCTCAAAACTGCTTTGAATTAGCTAAGTGGAGATCAACTTGTTGTATAAAGTAATATCCTGATTACCAGAGACATACTGGACATTCTTCCACCGCAATTTTTCCTGGTTATCTACCCTTGTGTGACAACTATAATCCTCATCCCCTTAACGTGAGTTAGTTTCTAAAGCTCACAGGCATCTTCATCTAGTCTACTGCACAAGTACCACACTCCAAATGATCTTCCAAGTTCATGGACACACACTGAGCCCTTACTCAGTCACCATTTGGGAGCACAGATTACTACACAAACAAATGAAAGCAACACATTTTCCCTGACGTGTCTCTCTGGAGAGGTATCCATATATTTAAACAAACTAACTTTTAGTAGCTTTTAATACAACTATGTAATTGTACTTGAGTTTCCTGTAATTCCTTCTATGGCACTTTAAATTCATGGCATCACACAGCAGTTTAGACTATCCTCAAGATAAAAGGCTTAAGCAGTAGTTTCATAGAAGGAAGAGCTATCACTGTCACAATTGCACACTTCCTTCACAGAACCATCTTACACTTCTCCAAATCACACACAAGAAGATGGCTAAGGAGAGTGGGCAGGAAAAGGAGAGGTGAAAGGATCAATATGCTTTGCTCCCCCAGTACCTTTTGTGCACAGTATCCCTGAAGACAAAGCTTAAGCATGGAATGCCATGACTTCCTTTCTGGAGGACAGGGGCAGTTAATAACAGGGAGTGGGGACTGACTGGAATCCAGAAGTGGCACAAAGGCAGAGATGTGATAAGGTTAGTTAATAGCCTTTCAGCATATTGTTTTACATATAAAGAAGTAAAACTTTGCCTCTTCTGCAAAAACTACCAGGAAAGAGTTTATCAGAGGACTCCCAAGAGAGGTCCTTCCCTAGCTCCATGCTCTGTCACCTCAGCACAGATAAGATAGCTCAATCTAGCAACTTCTTTACAGACTGGGAACAGGAACAAAACCAGAACACAACATACTTTCAAGTACTCGTACGAACAGCATAGAACCACTATAGAAATAGAAATCTGTCTTATAGAAATGTTTGTTTTCTGACTTTACTGAGTAAATACCTCAAAAATGCTATATATTATCTGTAATATATAACAGATAATTTTTAGCTGCAAACTAAAAGGAGTAACCATTAGAGAATTAGCTTTCTGAACTTCTTCTCATAAATGAGTAATTAATCAATCCTGAGAAAAGAAACTGTCCTTCCTTAAAGCTATTTCTGATAAAATTCTTACAGTAAATTAGTCACTATGTGCTTAATTTGTACAGTTCTTGATCTTATGCCACTGCTAATAAACTTGTGCCTCAAGAGTAAGTCAAATAAGTCAGTGTACAGGTTTTTGTTTCTTTCTTTTTTTTTTTTACTGAATGAGCAAATCAATCACACATCAGTGTTGTAAATTTATGTGCAAAAGCATTGAAGTGCTTTACTACAAATTACAACGTAGAAACACGTTAACTAAACAATTAAATTCATACAATCAGATTTAGGAATATAACAACACAAAGAAGAAACAGAATTACAGTACATTTACAACACAAGACAAATACATGGAATTCATTAGAAAATATTGTAATAAATAATTCATGAATTATAGTGCAATTGATTTATGCATAAATATAACTAATTGCCTAAAAATCAGTTGTTAACAAAAATCTGTCAAAAATCAAGGCAGCCACAGAGTTTTACTAAATTACTGCGACAATGGAAATACTGCAATTAAAAAACAAATACAAGTATTTGTACTGTAAACAACTAAAAAAATCAGTCTCACTAAAGTTAATATACAATTTAATATAAAATTGTCATTAGCTACCAGAAATGGTTTAAACAGCTTTACTGAGCAGTAGTTCTAAAAACAGAGGCACTGTTTTTTAATATAAAATACTTGAGAAACATTCAAATAAGTAGAAAGCATGTAGGGCTTGCTTTCGCCTTCATTTAAAAGTCTGCTGAAACAGGAATTTTCAGAAATTGTCAATTACTAAGTAGTGACTGGTAACTGAATTTATAAAACAGTTCAAAATGTATAATTTAAATGACATTTAATGAAATACATAGGGGTCGGGGAAGGAGAATTTACACATTTCCCTGCCTTTCCTTAGTTGTGTAATTAAAGGTTAGCCTAATAATTAGAAACAAATAATTCTGTTCCTTTAAACACTTACAGGTTGAGTATCATCTATAAACTATCAAAAAATATTTTAATATACTATTTCTGACCAAAAAATAAATACAAGTACTAAAATGTTGAAAATTAATTATAATATTACATACAAAACTACTGAGCACTGTTAAGTCAATAGTAAAATGATCCCTGATTTTATGAATCCTGTTAAATTTTTGGTCAGGTCATCTTTGAAATGATATAAAAAAGAGTTACTGTTACTTGCCT